TAACATATCTTCGAGTTCCTCCTGCGACACAGCTTGACCAGGCGGGATCTAGACGTTGCAAATAGTTATTGATATAGTGCGGAAGTTCACACGAACACAAGATGTCTGAAGAGTGGTTCTTACATCTATTTCTTCGGACACCAAGGAGTCTGTGAATAATGTAACGACTCCGCCATGTGCCGGGAGGCCATCATCAATGTCTTGCCTATAGCAGCAAAAGCCACGAAGAGATAGGGAATGCTCAGGAAGATGTGTTTCCTGCAGGCAGATAACAACGGGTATATGAAGTGACATTATCAGCTTTAATTCATCTCATCGGGCGCGAAAGCTATTCAGGTTCCACGAGAGAGCCATAATTTTTAGATGCTAAGTTTCTTTCTTCTAAAGGGATATTTTCTTCCCCCTGTTGCCCGAATGGGCGATTGTCCACCTCGACTGAAGTTTCCTCCTGAGCACTGCTCAACGGAGTAAGAGATCGCTCAGAGCGAGTCTCAGGAGCCAGGGTAGGTGGTCGGAGTTGGAAGGAATGATCTTTTTCAAGTTTCTCTGGGCCAGAATGCCGAGTGACATCAGCCTTCATGCAGAGCTGAGAAGGGGATTCTAAATCCGACTTTGCCTGTATGATTTTCTTCGACAATTTATATTTGGACAGAATTATTATCATCTTCCCGCCTTGCAGAGGCAATGTCATCAGGGACGTCTACTGGAGACACCTGGCAGCAGAAATGAGCAACTGAGGGAGTAGCAGAAGTAGTCTGACAACTCGCTGTTGCTTTTGCGGTCTTGGCCAGAGTAATAGAAAAAGAAAGCCCGAGATCTACAAGGTTCTTCACGAAGTATCGGTGTTTCACCTCGGGAAAGGATACTTTCTCCGTCACTTTGATCTTTTGGATTTCCCCTCTCCCTCACATACGTAGGGGGCCTGTTTGAGTTTGCCGCATGGTCTCCTTCACAGTTAACACAACGAAGTGGGGAGGCACAGGGATCCGTGTCTCTGTGTGGATTTGCCGCACTTTGCGCAAACAGGGTGTACGGCCATACACCGCTGTTGGGTATGGCTGAACCTCTGACACTTGAAGCAACGTAATGGGTTTGGCACATACCCGCACGTGGAGATTTTACAAAACCACAACTAATCCTCTCTAGGAGAGAGGAGAGATTAAACGTCAGTATCAGTGTGGGAGTAAGGATCTCTCTCCCATTCTCCTTCCTCTTGATCCTAAACACCTCCGTTACGCCCTGACTCTTGAAGAAAGACAGAAGTTCCTCCTCACTTTCGGTCGCAAAGCCATCGTGATTCACCACCCCCGTACATAGGTTAAGGGTAGGGTGTGATCACTTCCACCTGGAGGCCGGCAATCTGCTTTGTTTTCGAGATTTTTTCGATTTGCTCATCAGTGCGTGCTTTGACGAGTGTAACACTATTCCTCTGGCTCGCGCGAGACGAATCGCACTAGTACTTTTAAATGTTTTTCCTTCTTTCTTGGACACCAGCAAAAGAAAACGTGGCTTCTTTGGTTCATCTTCTTCCCCACGGAAAAAAACTACTCAAATCCACCGTTTTCTCAAAACATCGCCACTTCCTTCCGAAAGAGAGCAAGGGGTTTGTTTTATGCTCTATAGAATTGAAGCGGATTCGTCTCCGTGCTCCCCACCCACCACGGAGTCCAACGAGGGGACACCCCACTGGGGTGCCAGGGTTGACACGAAGATATAGTGGGAAGATGTCACAGCGCTGCCACGCCGTGGATTCTCCCGCTCCGGAGTTCAGTACAAGGCCTAGTCCGAGCCGATTGATCGGGAGTGTGTTAGCTCCCGACTGCCCGTCTAGAAGAGTCAGAGGCCAAACCAAGTGTGTTGGAAACCTACAAGGAATGTCCCCCAAAATAAGTAAACAATGTATCCGTAGGTGCAAGGCAGAAAGTAGCACAAGGGGTAGTTGGGAAACAAACAGGTCCCTCAACTGCCAGGACACACCTTCCCTCCAACACGGGTCGCCATGCACGGCAAACGCATGGGTGGGCTTTCTGCATACGGGAGGGGGGGCAGTGAAATAGAAGGGGTAGAAGAAAAGGGACAGGATGTTATAAAAGAATGAGAATGAACGATGGAGAAGATCAAGATGATTGTCGAGAGAAAGGAATACTTGAGAGCCCTCCCTGCATTCCCCCGTCAGGACGGGAACCGACACACCTCGACAAGGCTGTGACAGTCGCGCGCTTCCTGTCGCCTACGTAGAACACAGCACATTTTGTCCTGAGGTAAACAACACCATGCTTAAAACTGAAGCAAGCAATTGCGCGTCACCGCCGCCAGTTGTAGCCCATTTAGAATATAGCTCACAGTGAAACTGAGTGGCATAAGGTCAGCACCAAGGTCCCCATTCCATGTCCGCTACTTTCACATCAGGGGAAACATCATCAATTATGACTTGGGCTGGAAAAAATCATGATTTTTTAAAAAGAATTTAAAAAGTGATGCAATACCGCCCTAACCCACAAAATCTTTACATTTGAGTTACTAATAGTTTTGTGCTCTTGAAACACTTCTCTTGCTTCTACATTAACGAATAAGCTTGGGCCACCATCTATTAGCAAGATTTAGAAAAAAGGCATTTGTTCAAAGAAATTTTACCATATTTTGTGCAATACTGCCCTAATCAATCAATTGTTGAAAACAACTAAATGCATCAAAAACCTTATAACAATGTTAGACAGTTTTTGAAATATTAAATTCCATTCAATATTTGGCCTAGTTCAACCGAAAAACCGTTCAACCGTTATAATGTTTGTTACTTGCGTACTTTCGCATTAACCCTTTAACGATCATTAGAAATTATCCTCCCACTGAAAATGGAATTTTAATAATATACACATAAAGAAAAAGGTTAATATTATTAAAACTAGTAAGATTAACTACCGTTTTCATTAGTTTTAACAATATTACTTTAGTTCTTTAAAGGAGTTTAAATGAATTAATAAAATTCCATTTTTATTAATACTTATCGTCTTTAATATGTACTTTAAGTGGCTTTGGCGAACATTTTAATACAAATCTAGAATTACGGACACTGTTGAAGCCCTCTCAAAACTAGTTCGTTGGGTGTTAGGGCGATATTGCTGCTAAATTAGTTTTATCTACAGACAATTTAATGCCGGATAGAAAATAATTGATCATCTAAGCTTAATAGTGTATAACTACTACTAATTGTTTATGGTTCTTTGTTTTATAAGTTTGTTTATTTTATTATATTTTACTTTCTCAAAATTGTTCAATTATGTGAAAAAAGGTTATAAATAATTAAAGGTTATAAATAAATATATTCTTTATATCAACTTTGTAATTGATTTAAGTCTTTTTATCTGAGTAATTTTTATTTTACAAATGTTTAAAATACAAATATATTTTTAAATAAAAATTTTGTAGAAATAATAAATATCGATTTAAAGCATCGATTTAAAAAAAATAATCATTTGATTTAAATCATACCAGCCTTAATTATGACCTTTGGTTGACAATATTTTGTCCAAGCTATCATGTTGGCTTTTCAGCACTGAGGTGATATATTCTTTTCCAGAAGTGACTAAACTTCTAGAACTCTGCATTTCCTACGTTCACTACAGCCGAGGTTTATGTTCACTACAACCGAATCTTCTTATGCGTATTAGTAATGTAAGTGAAATGGGACCAGTGACTTGAGTTCACTATATCTGAGGGTTCAATATAACCGGAGTCAACTAAGTATTGCTTCCAATCTGCCATACAATAATTCAAAAAAATTGCTGATAGTGGCCTATAAGTATCACTGATATCCATATTCTTTTTATTTCACACTTAATGTTAAGAAATGTTGAATGATATGAAGTTGTGCAGTCTTGGAAATTTGAAAATAACATTTTTTTACCCTAATCTTTGCCCATTGTGTTGGGCCACTTAATGGCACAACATTTTGCAAGTGGGAAACAACGGAATACAATGATAAGCATGCTGGTAGTTGCAAATAATCTGAACTCACAGCAAGATCCAAGAAATGACAGCGGTGCATACCAACCACTCTCAAATTGTAGAACAGTGCCAGTAGCAAATGGACTGAGCTACAGTACATCAAAATTCTGATATTGGATCTGTTCCTGTGCACATTAGCCAGCATAGGGTCCCATGTGTTGGCCCAAAATCTAATTGCTGATCACACACGTCTGTTTGAAGCAACTTCATCAACAGTGTGGACAAGGTTGAGATGTTTCTCTGTTGGTTCACAAGCAACAAAATAGTGCTTTCCGCATGATCCTCAAAAGAGGCAACAATTAGCCACACGAAAATCAGCATCATTACAATGAAGGAAACTCGCACAAAATAGGGAAGGCCGTGCTTCAATGGTCTGTAAACTCATTGAAGCCTTTTAAATGAGCAAATGTTGATCAGCATTTTTTGAACTCTATGCAATCCTACTGTTTGTTAGCATTTTGAATCTTGAAGAGGTTGCTAAATATGAACATCCAAGTTCGTCACTTTAGGTTTTTCTGAAAGGAACAGGCATTACAAAAGGTCTTTTAAGCTGCAGAATAAGATACTTCCCTCACTTTCCTTGGGTAGTCTTCCCAGCCAAGTTGGGAGAAATGTGGTTAATAGCAACAGTATTAAGAGATCATGGTTCTGTGTAAATGATTCTCATAGTAGAGTGTGAAATATGTATTTCCAATCTTTTAATTAATAGACTGTACACTGTTTCAATGCAACAATTCACAATCCATGAAATTATTGACAGTATCACGTACCATTTACTCAGTTTACACATATCTAAACTGCATATACTATTTATTCAATTTCATTATGCTATTGCTATGGAAACTTCTATTTATGCAACTGCACACTGCACCATGAAATACATTTAAAATCACCAAATAAACAAAATGTGTTTTCTTATATCATAAAAGGAGAGCAAATGTACAAAACACACAAATTCTATTCAAAGAAAGAAAAATGAGATGAGCATTACTTACAGTCACTAGTCTGTGAGTTTGGAGAGTCTGTCCTGGTCGTGGTAAAGAAGTCATTCCTACACTTTGAGTTGCCGCATTCACGGGAGTCATTAAACGTACTTGAGTTGTGGCTGCAGCTTGAGGTCTGAGTTGTGCCTGCACATTGAAGGTGTCATAAATTAATAAAACAATATAAAAATGCACAAACCAATGTACCACCAAAAGTTATCACAGAAAATGTTTCTAACTACACCTTTTGTACTTAAACATGCAGATTTTTGTAAATTTCAGGTCAAGGAAAATCACACATACCATTTACTTCAATAAATACTTGAACAATACTATCATTAAATTTTAGGTTATAGAGATCTTTTAAAATTTGAATAGATAAGATATCATTTCATATAAAAAGTACCTTTATCACACTAGAACAATGTTTATACCATATTTCTCAGAATCCAAGATGCTATCTCACCTACCTCACACTTAAAAGCTCATGATTAAACAATAACTCTCACATAATGGCATATTATCCATATGCAATGTAAATTTTATCTTAACTGATTGTCTTTTGAAAAGCTGAAAGAGTTTGACATTTTTCTTAAAAGTAGATTGATGTGGATGTCATTAACTACGGTGGTTTATGATATGAATATTGTTTTAGCAATTGCAATAGCGGGATACACTACATTTGTACTGAACAGTCCTTCAAAGCAGGAAGTAGATGAGTGCAATGTATATGATTGAAGAAATTCCTACGAGAATTATAATTGAAGATGCTGAGGATGAAGAAGAATAGGAGAAAGAAGAGAAAAAGAAGGAGAAAAAAGCGAAAGAGGAGGAGGAGAAAAGGAAGAGAAAGAGAAAAAGAGGAGAATATCAATTTTATGTTTCTTTGTTTATGAATAATGCAATATTTCAAATATAGTAATGAGGCACAATCCAAATTTCAGCCACATCAGCCAAATCACAGCCAAAAATGACCCACACCCAAATACATAATCAATGGTAAAGAAAGGCAATCACATAAGATTAAAAAAAGAATTTCCAATTTTATGCTAAGACTGACGCATATATCAAGAATACATATGACACATGACTCATTTCCCCTTTTCACTTCAGTGTGAAAAATAACCATGATGAAGTGAAATGCTGATTGTTGTAACACAAAAACCTATTGCATTGATATGTATACTATCAAATGGTTGTATGCGACATAGTTGATGTGACATGATATCATAGATGTATGTGATACTATCAAATCTATGGTGTACCTAACACAAGGAACAAATGCTCTGGGGACTCAAAGAAATATGATCTGTATCTTTCTCTCTAGATAGCTTTGAGCTACTCTCCTTTTGTATTTTATTACGTAATGTTGCTTTATTTTCTGTAATTTTTTATTATACTGCAGAAAACAAAAAGCTATATTCATAGTTGGGTTCATACACAGAAAACAACAAATTATGGTATTGCCATTGCACAAAGTTAGCCAACCTGGGTAGCAGAGATCATTAAGATGGGTGCACCTCGACCATCTTGGCTATATGGGGTCACAGGTTTGAGTCTTGCCTTAGGCATAGTTTTCTGTTAGGGTGTTGTGGCATAATGGAGCTCTCCCAACTACTGTGAAGTATCACTTTCCACACCTACACACCTTAATAATTGAAAAATAAAGCAAGGAGCTTCTTAATTTAAAAAAATAGAAAGCATTGTCTGTAAAATAAGCTAGCACAATTTGGAAATAATTACTTGAAACAATGAAGCAAACCCAATAATTAATATTCATCATAAACCAAGTCTGATGTCATTTATGTTCCATTTGATATTTTGTTTGAATTTAATATATAGTTGGCACTAATTATTGGTAAAATTTTACATGCATGTTACTAAGTATTTCTCAGTGACAGTAGTGACCGATAATAAACTAGTTCTAGTCTTAGCCTGGATGAATTTTAGATTATACTGATAATTATGAAGGTAGGAAATGGACTTCACTAACAACTGATATTATACTAATGCTCGTGATGTTCTTAATGAGAGAGTCATAATGAGAGGGAAAGATTTTTTAAGTAAATTGTTTGAGAAAAACAAATTTCTCAAATGAGAAAATAGTCAAGATACATGACGCTGTAACGAAATGCTGAAATTTTCACTTATTTATGCTTATTGTTTACAGGTATAAATATTCCTGACCTGAAGAACAAATCCATTTATACCTAAGAGCAAAATGTTTATTACCAACGAGACTTAGATATTTGAAATTGAGCAATACATTTTTTATAGTGTATTTTACTACAATTCTCAGGCTTAGGAAAGCATAAACAAAGCTTACGAACATTGGTCAAAGGTAGTACGACATCACACCATCTACACCAAGGCCACACGACTTCAGCCCACTTGGATCACAGTTTTGAATTAACCAGTAGCATGATAGTGCTCCGCTTTTCCACCACCCCACACAACACATACTGGGAGTGGAAAGTTATTTGTATAAATAAAATTAATTCTTACTTCATCAATTTTGATCCACAATTTATTTGTTTTAGAACAGAGGAAAGTTCTTGAATACTGATAATTTGAACTCTGACATAACACATTTTACAAATGTGTCAATTTTTAGTATTCTACTAAAAAAATTGTTATATTTATAATAACATAATGGCATTCACTTAATACCTACATTCAAAAAATGGGATCATTGAGAAAATTGGATCTCGAACCCACTGAAATAAGAGATGTAATCTGAGTTGGTAACAACTACGAGATATATGCAAGCAAGTCATCGTCTTCTTTCTCTTCCATCTTGCTTTCCAGAACCTTCATTCCTGTTATGTGGTCCTACCTCCCCAATAAATAACAATGATGGGATTTCCATTCTTAATGATTAAACAAATGAGCTTTCAATGAAAGAAAAACAATCTTTGGATACTGCAAATTCTCACTTATCTGTTAATATCACAAGACAACAAGCTTCATTGAATAATTATTTAATCAGTAAATTATTATAACCTATTATGATCCTAAATATTAATTCTTTTATTTATTATATTATTTTCTTATTGACTAATAGAAACAGCAAGAAATTTGAAGTCTGATGCAGGAAAATTCTATGCTTATGGCATTCTAAAAAAATTGTTTTGCATTTGCAATTCTGTGTTGAAAGCTCAGATTGCAAGTTCAGATAAGAATTTTGTCTACATAATAACTTTCCAAACAAATGTGCTCCTCAATGAAGTCACATCTGTGGCTCTGCCTTCAATGGTTTTGTCAGCGTTTTCATAAATTTTTTGCAACTAGCATTCCATACAAAAGTCACTATTTATTGAAATATCCAATAATTAGATATCAATTAAACATTTACTATAAATTCATTATTTTGGATCTTTTATATTTCATGTTTACAGAAAAACGCTGACATATGAAACAATGAGCCAATTGTTTTAAAATCCTGCAAAAAATGAAGTAAATAAGCAAAATGTACACCAATAATTTTATTTTAATATATAAATCTGCAACCAAGAATTCAAAAAAGCAAAATCTATAGTTACATGCACAAACCTCAGATAGTGCACACAACTCTGAAAAATGAAAACAGAAAATATGACAATTATAATTACCAAGTATTAAACCTACATAATAGAGCCAAACATATTTAAAGTCATTAATCAGTTCTGAGGAAAAATCATGCAATATCAGATGAGGATATGTGGATGATTTAACAATTAAGTAGAACACTACCAAGCACGTAGAGCCAGAAATTTAAATTTGGCACCACATAATAGTAAGTACGCCAATTAATATTCATTATAATAATTTAATCAACACCACAATTCTATATATTTGGAAAAATTTGAAATGAACATTTTTCAGAAAGTAAATTAGAATAAAACATTATACAAGAACTTCTCTAAAATATTAACTAAATTATGAACATGTTTAATGCCACCTAAGGTATGAACTGAACACTATTAATTAAGTCAACACAAAATTAGAATTCTAAAAGCAAGTACTTGCAGGAAAAATTCAATAAAGAAATTAATACATTTTTAAATTACTAAATTTCCTCTAATATTCAATTTCTACATCAAAACTTTTGGTAGTGAAAAAAGTAAAGACTACCATATAACTGTTTGAAACTACATAACAGAAAAAACAACAAAGCAATTACAGGAATCAAAAATATGTTTTATCCAAACAAGTAAGACTATTTTTGACACAATTTGTTGATTTATCTAGAAAAACAAGATTTCTTCTAGCTACTCATTACAAATTTTAATTAACTAACCTGTAATTGCCGAACAATGGCTTCAGATTTTAAAACTGAACTTGTATCAGGAGAAGTAGGTCGTATTAAAATTCTCTGTTGAGTGGGTCCAGTCACAGTGGGAAGGGAGGTTGTGGAAGCTGACTGGGAATTCAGAAAAAAAAGAAAGAAAGAAAATTAAATCATAATATCAGGTTTATTTTGTGGTGAAGCATTATAATAATTTGAATCCATAATGGACAGTTTAAGACTTGATGAACTTGCTGTAGTTTCTATAAGAATTACAAATTGTACATGCATACCTTCACTTATTCACAACATTTAGAAACATTCACACAACGGAAGAAAATGTTATTAATGAAGGAAATTTTTTATACTGCAAATTTACAAAACAGGAAGTTAGTATGTAATTATAGAGTACGCAACAATATGGAAAGTAATTTCAAAAAAAATACTTGTCTCCTTTTTCATATACTTTATTTATTGCAGTTTTAATATAAAATTATTATTATTATTATTATTATTATTATTATTATTATTATTATTATTATTATTATTATTACTACTACTAATCAAATTGTAGTGAATCTCATATTATACAAATACCCCTCCAAAAAATATTAAAGGCATCAAGTAGGCTAGAGAACAGGTTGGTTAAACATTGGAAAAAAACTAAATCAACTGAAATTTTTTTAATGTTGAATCACTGTCATCTGATATGTACACATTCATTCAAGAGATATATGCATATATTTCTGTAAATGGCCTATGTCCTTTGAAAAGAAGCTATAATGTTTATATTTGAAAAATGAACTCCCAAGACAGATTATTGTTTTCCAAAATACTTATCCTGTAGGTGGTACATTCGCGTAGCTTTGGAGTACTAAAATGTATGTGAAGTACGATAATTTAATAGAATATTTTGGAAAACACTATAATCTTGTATTGCACATTTGATAGAAACATCAACTTGTGTTTGAAGACATAAAAGTGATAAAATATTATTTAAGTGATCAGGCATACTGATTTATGATCACACTTTAGCATGGAAAGAGAAAGATATGTCAATGTGAATACATGCTTTTATTACTAAACACATCAATTTTGTTAAACACACATCTTCCATTAACACATTACATGCAAATCACTAATTGTATCATGTTTTAATGAAAAATTATGAAGAATAAAAATACACATTGCAAGATTTTTTATTTTATTTTCCTGAAAGATAACATAAAATACTAGTCTTCCATTGGTACAAGAAGTCAACATAACAGCTGTCAGTAAAGGGGACAATCAATCTGAGAGGCTGTTGAGAACTAAAAAGTATCTCATCTCTTCAGAAAATTAACTTATTTAATTACATAATTTCAAACTGTAACTTTCTTTCCATTCTTCATAACCATAATGATGCACCACATACATGTGTTAGTCAAACACTTTTTAACGTAACTGACATACGGTAGAACATATTAAATCACAAAGTGGGCTACAGTACAAGTATTGGTCAAACTTATTTATTGCAACAGGATTATTCTCAAAGAATAACAGGATTTACTCAATGACATAAAATAGCTTGAGGTCTATCATCAATTCAATTAAAGAAATCTAATCAGCAACAAAATTATGCTGAGAGTTATTGTCAAGAAGTGTCATACGCAAAATTTAAAATTTCATACTGCTAAAAAATACTACACTGATATAAGGAAAATATTTCACATTTATAAGTTGGAATGCTCGTAAACACAATAATTAAAATTTGGAGAATTTTCACAATAATGTAGAGGCTATCTCAAAGAAAAATGATTTGGTAAGTTCAAGAAATTACTCTGAGTTCTAAAAATCAAAACTTACAAACCAATAAATAATACTTATAAACATAATCTCAGTTAGAGATTCAGCATATATTTTCCAATTTGCATATGCTGTTTAATAGAGGAGCAATAACTTAGTATTTCAATCAAATAGCTGAGCTTACCTGCATTTGTGGAACAACAGCTCCTGAATTCGGGATGGAGAATACAACAGTATGATGTGGAGGTGGTCTAATACCATCAATTACTAGTTCCTTGGTAACTAACGACTGACGAAGAAGAGGTAAACTTTTCTGAAACAAAAATAATAAAGTGATCAAAAATTTGTATTTTCAATTAGTCTTACCTCAGTCACTTATGTAAATAATAAATGATAACAAAAATATAAAAACAAAAGTCCTACCAGTCTGTTCAAACATTCACACACTACGATTGGTCTTTGAAATGACACACAATTCTTTGTATTCTTTTGTAGCCATTTCAATTTATTAAAAACTTAACAAATGATACATACTAATAAATACAGGTCTCATATCCTTTCAGACTTTCTTTAACAAGCAACATTCTTGCTGCACTGGACACTGTGTGTGCTCACTACCATTATTTTTTGTTGAACCTTTTTCGAATGTCAAAATAAACTCAGGTAAAGTCATGTCCATGATATTTGAAAATATCAGTAGGAAATGAAAGAAAGACCGATGAAGTTTAATTTTTTTTTTCTTTCTTTCTTTTTTTCAATGTCATCGCACAGTTAAGATATCCAGGGATCTACACAATTTTAATCGATGTTAAAATTTTATCATGAAAGAAGAGCTGAACTAGAGGTCCACAACAGCACATCCTTTCTTGCATTATTAGTAACTTTTGCAAATGACAAAAAATTCAGAGTTCAATGAAAATCGGATGCACAATTGATTTACTACATGAAGGAACAAGAATTATCCTTGTTTTAAGTAACCCACAAAATGAATTTTTCTGTCCGAAAATCACTGTTTTTTTGCTGCAGCATTACAACACATTCTCTACATTTGCAAGAAAGTATGAATGATATGCAAGCCACAATGGCAACATCTTTTATGATCAGTAAATATGAATTGATTTAATATGCAAAGGAATATGAAAGACAGATGCTAATGTTTATCAGGTATAATTCATATCTGACACAGAGATGAATGACCTGTCATGTCAAAAAGAAACTGTGGTATTGACAAACAACTGGCATTGTATTCCATCTCTAATTATTATTCAATAAATATGGTCAGAAAAGAAATTGACAAATAAAAGAAGGAAATATTAGATTCAAGTATTGCAGGGAGGTAATAACATTTGAGAAACAAGTTTCTCCGACTTTTCCAATCTATTGAGACCTATCAAAATTAATTTTCACAAAGTACACTGAAATTAATTCAAATATATCCTAAATACACCAACCCCTTTTCACTGTACAATTAATTAATTAATACAATTAATGAACAGATGAGTAATAAATAACTTTGTTTCTGCTTATTGAATGTATATTTGAGTTGTGAATACGCAGTTGATAAATTTATGATAGGAAACAATACCAACAGATGCATAAAAGTAACATTATTTTAAATGTATAAAACTTCTTCTCAATTATCACTGGTCAGTATGATCAATTGCTTTAGACTGTGTATCTCCTGCCAAAATAAAAGCTCTCCAATATTTATTTATCTATTTATTAATAACATTGTTGCAGCAACACATAAAGTATAACAAGAAGAATTAAGAAGTAAATAAAATAATAAATCTGTAAAAGAGAAAAGACTAAAATGAGAAATCGTTAAAAAAACTAACAAAAATTACACATCAACAAAAAAACAACAATAGGTGAAGTTTTATGTAATGGAGGAGGGTGTTCTGGCAATTGTTTCTAGTCAAAACACTTAAGGAAAGACTGTGAAGGAACTCTCTTGATCTACAATTATTGCAAGCAATAATTGCAGATCAAGAGAGTGTAGACACACACACACAAAACACACACACAACCACACACAACACACACACACACACAACACAACACACACACAGATATATGAAAAATAGAGCCTAATAAAAGGCACTGACAAGGGCTGAGAAAACCATGGAAAAGTTCATTCTTTTGACGCTCACAAAAGATGGTAAGCAGATGCCTAGTTACATTACAACGTAAGATACTGCAGCTTCCATAACACTCAATCAGATGCAGGTCACTGTGTGTGTAGTGAAAGTGAATTTTTGTTTTGTTAATTTGTGGTTTACAATAGATTTTAATATTGGTAAGTATTTCTATTTCTTCATGGTTGAAGTTCAAAGCAAAAATTTATTTAAAATATAACTTCCCAGCATTAAGTAACATATTATAGTATTGCAGCTGCCAAACACATACAGTCAACTCCAGTTATAATGAACTTCTGGGGACTAACATTTTTGGTTCACTAATATCAGAGGTTCACTATATCTGATGATGTCAAAATTAAATGGAATTTTCCCACAGTGATTGTTTTTATTAATATAGAGATACGGCAAAATACATTAAAAACACGAACTTAAAATTTCAATATCTTTATTTGTCCTAAAAAATCAAATATTTTCAATTGTTTGCTTTGTCGCATTTCTCATTGGCAATTTTTTTTAGATACTTCAGCAAAGTTCATGCTCCCTAAATACATGATTCAGCATTGTCCACTGTCATCTCTAAGTATCGTAATGCAGTCTTTGACACCCATCAATGCTGTTTACACTGTTGGAACACCTTTCCACTCTCCGCAGGCCCTTTTACTCATGTAATAACATACAAGACCCTTTCGGTAGTGGGATGACACACGCAGCTATTGAAACTGATCACTTTTTCTCACCACACAACGGGTGTCGCATGGCTGTGGGGTTAGGGCAGTCACACGCTTCCTTTCACCTATTTAGAACACAATGTGCTTTGATCCACAGAATATAACACCAAGCTTGAAACTGAAGCAAGCAATCATTATTGCCGCCAATTGTAGCCCACACAGGACATGGCCTTTGTTTTTGCAATGAAACTGAATGACATAAGGTAACCAGTAACACCCCCATTCCAGGTCTGCTACCTTCACCTCGCACCTCACGGGAACCTCTTCGATAATGACCTTCAGACGACGATATTTTTTCTGACCTGCCTGGTGTAGGAATTTTTGGCACTGATGTAATACATTTTCCAGGAGGGAATTAATTTTCTGGACTTCCATGATAATGAGGTGAGGCAATACGTTCAGTATAGCTGAGATTCAGGTTCACTATCACCGAATCTTCATTTGCTTATTTGTAACATAAATGAAACGGAATCCGTGACTTAAGTACACTATAACCGAGGGTTTACTATAACCGGAGTCAGCGGTATATTATTTCGTATATTTGAAAATATTTGTTGAAACAAGTGTGCATGTGGGTGGGTGTGGTGTGTGTGTATCCAGCATTCGACCAGTAGAAATTGGAGAAGCCATGGAAAACTGCCAATCAGAACAGATGGCCACTATAATTCTACGCCAGATAGAGAGTGAATTCGACCTAGCTATTTAGCTAGTGTCAAAAATCAACCATTTAGACTCGAACCCTACGACCTCCGGTTCAAAGACACAGCAATGGCAACAGTTGTTGCCCCCAGCCATCTCAGCTAGTATATTAAAAAATATCATATTAGTAAAACCATCATTGAAATGTATAAATCTCAAAATTATCAATCAAAATCTGCAGCCAAATATCTTCCATTATGATTCTTTTTTATCTAAACATGGTTCTTAGGAAGGAAGCACGAAGAGATTTATCGTCATCATCGTTTTTCACAGAACTTCACTGTAACCATTTTGCAATATCACATTACATTTTACATTATATATTGCAACTTTTTATTTATTTTGCTATATGTAACACTACTTCTAAACACAAGAAAACATACTAGCTCAATCACAGTTACATCAACAGATGGGATGGATCTCAAAGACTAAACACAAAATAAATTACAAATAAAAACTACACAAAAACAAGGGACACATTATACGTTGCATTTGCAAAGAAAAGAAAGGTAGAAGAAAGAAGAGGTTCCTGGTGGCATCTGTATGTCCTTGGCAGATATATTTGTTATCGCATGGTTCTCCTAAACCCATCCATTCCCAGGTTAAGGGAGTAGCATAGCCCTTCCCAAAATATCTGTGCAGATAAAAAGAAAACCTTTCAAGACCGAGTCAGTCAGATCCACCAATTTTAACTTTAATTTCTGTTAGGAAAATTAGATTGTATTAACACTTCAATATTTATTTTTAGAGAAGTATACAAAAATTTTTAGCTAATGTGTTAAAACTATATCTATAACAAATTTTGGTGTTTTGGTACTTGAAACTTTGGCTGACAAGATAATGTAGCTTCTACTATTTAGCTTTTAATCATTTAGTGATCCATACTGTTGTATTACAATTTTTGTCCTTTCGTTTTTTAGTCTTTGAATTTTAATAAAAACAGATATTTTGAAGAATACTCAATCCATGATTTTTTATGCTCTTACTTGTCTTTATTGATAAAATGCAAAACCACCATTTTGACTTCCACCTAACTTTTTTAGAAGAAGTGAGGCTTGAAGAAACTTAATGTAAAACATAAAGAAGTTTTTAGAAGACATGTAAATATTGAATACTGAAAAAAATTAAGAGAATTAAACAGATGGTGGAATATGTCGATGTTCATAAATAGGAGATTTGCTATTATTGTTTTAAATAGCAATTGGCACTACTTTCTATAATGGAAAAAAAAAAGAACCTTTAGTGAAAATATATATGAACAATACATTAGTAGTTCTCAGTTACAGTTCCTTCTTATCAGAAAAAAAATCTACATCTTCAAATAGAAGTGAATGATATCTCTTTTGCCGAAGTTGATGAAGTGCTCACCTCTGTGAAGCAAGCCAATGCCGGACAGACACTATGCTGCTTTGACCCATTTTTCACTGTCTGCATGTCATTTGAGAAGTGATGATTGCGATAGACCAGTGTCCCAAGAGTGATTGAACTGTGTAAGTACGATGAAATTTTCATTGTATCAGAAAATCTTTAGAACACATTTGTCTATTTTAACTCTACTATGAACGAATGTTTAAGCACTGAATATACGCTAGTGACAATCAAATAATATATTCCCTTGTAACTTTTTATTTTGGGAAGAACTGAAAGACCAGGTTCATACAGAAAACACTAATTAGGTGGAAGAGCTTCACATTTCAAAGAGTAAACTGAAATATGTTCTGGAAATACCAAGAATGCACTTGAGC